TCTTTTCTTGTAGTTTGAAGCCATTGTTCCACGTCCTAGTCTCCAGGGCAGCGGAAAACAAGCTTCCTCTCACATATTTATTAGGGCTGGGCGGTTTCGTTTCGTTAATTCGTAATTCGTTAATAATTCGTTAATTTTTTCAATTACAAAACGATAACGAACCATTCTGGAGCAATTATTAAAAAAATGAATTTTCAAAAACGTTTGTAAATGCTTCGTATTTCGATATTGTATTCATTTCGTTATTGTTTTGAGGTCGTTTCGTTATTATTTCCGCATGTCTGGGCCAGTTTTATGGTTTAATTAGTGAAAAAAAATTATAATATCACACCAACAGTCAACAACAGAGGGAGAGGGAAGCTTCAGAAGGTTTTGGAGGTTTTTTAGCGTATTTCGTGGTCGCGTCCGCCATTAACGAATCGATTCGTTATTGTTTCGGAAATCGATTCGTTAATTTTTACCATTTACGAAATTTCGTAAATATCGAACTTTTTAAAAGGAAAATTTTGTAATTATTTTAAATATCGAACAAAAAAACCCCCCAAATACAAATCGATTTTAGAAACAAATTTTTCTGTTGTTACCCAGGCCTAATATTTATACATGGCTATCATGTCTCCTCTCAGCCTTCAATTCTTCAGGTTTTGGTGGTGGCCAGGGGAGCTTTTGCACAGTTCATAGAATCATAGAATCAAAGAGTTGGAAGAGACCTCATGGGCCATCCAGTCCAACCCCCTGCCAAGAAGCAGGAATATTGCATTCAAATCACCCCTGACAGATGGCCATCCAGCCCCTGTTTAAAAGCTTCCAAAGAAGGAGCCTCCCCACACTCCGGGCAGAGAGTTCCACTGCTGAACGGCTCTCACAGTCAGGAAGTTCTTCCTAATGTTCAGATGGAATCTCCTTTCCTGTATTTTGAAGCCATTGTCCCATTGCGTCCTAATCTCCAGAGCAGCAGAAAACAAGTTCGCTCCCTCCTCCCTATGACTTCCTCTCACTTATTTATACATGGCTATCATGTCTCCTCTCAGCCTTCTCTTCTTCAGGCTAAACATGCCCAGCTCTTTAAGCCGCTCCTCATAGGGCTTGTTCTCCAGACCCTTGATCATTTTAGTCACCCTCCTGGACACATTCCAGCTTGTCAATATCTCTCTTGAATTGTGGTGCCCAGAATTGGACACAATATTCCAGGTGTGGTCTAACCAAGGCAGAATAGAGGGGTAGCATTATTCTAGACATTATTCTTCTATTGATGCAGGCCAAAATCCTGGTGGCTTTTTTTGCTCCTGCATCACATTGTTGGCTCATGTTTAACTTGTCCACAAGGACTCCAGGATCTTTTTCACATGCGTCCCCCATTCTGTATCTTTGCATTTCATTTTTTCTGCCTAAGTGGAGTATCTTTCAATTGTCACTGTTGAACTTCATTTTGTTAGTTTCAGCCCATCTCTCTAATCTGTTAAGAATCCTGCTCCTGTCTTCTGGAGTATTGGCTATCCCTCCCAATTTGGTGTCGCCTGAAAACTTGATGATCAGGAATTCTGGGAGCTGAAGGCCCAAGCAGCTGGAGGGCCGCAGTTTGAGGATGCCTGTTTTTAACAGTCTGTCCTGGAAGATTGTGGGGAAGAAAAATGGCTCCTGGACTCCTCACCTTTGCCCACCATTACTATTCCTGTTTTGTTCCCTGATCAGATGGAAGTGTACTGCTCTGATTTCCATGCCGAAAGAGCCGCACGAGAGAAAATTCACGAGGAAAAGGAGCAGTTAGCTGTGCAGTTGACATACTTGCTAACAGAGAAGCAGCAACATGAAGGTCTCAGCAGGTAAGAAGTGGATCAAGAGAGGTTTTCCAGTTTTATTTATTTATTTATTTATTTACAGCTTTTAGATTCCGCCCTTCTCACCCCGCAGGGGACTCAGGGCGGATTACAGTGTACACATATATGGCAAACATTCAATGCCAATTTTTGACATACAAACATATACAGACATACACAGAGGCTATTTAACTTTTTCTGGCCGCCAGGGGAGCTGTCGCTTTCATCGTCCATCTGCGACGCTGATGAAGCACTTCCGCATTCCCCGCATGCTTCCCCGCTGGAATGCTTTGCTGGAGTCTTCTTTATGGCCTCATAAATCAGTTAATTTAGCCTCCCCACACTTTAAGGTGGTACCTAATTTTCCTACTTGACAGATGCAACTGTCTTTCGGGTTGCAAAGGGCGACAACAGGCTACACACAATTGGTTGGAAACCCACTCCAACCCGGGCTGGCTTCGAACTCATGACCTTTTGGTCAGAGTGATCTTAATGCAGCTGACACTCAGCCAGCTGCGCCACAATCCCGGTGCTACAATCCCGTCTAGTGGAGAAAAAAGGGGACAAGGTAGTCATGTTTCCCACCTTTTAGGGAGCAGTTCTCCTCTCCGTATTCGGTTCTTTTAATGAGAAATGAGAAGTACATAATATGCTCATTCACTCTTTTTTCTTTCTAGGAATTCACTAGCAGAAATGCAATCCCGTCATGGAACAAGACTACCATCAGGTCAGGATCATTTATCTCACTTTTCTCAAGGAGGTAAGATTGACACGTCAAACTGATGTTTTACTTCATATAGAGTGCCATGTTCTGTTCTCAAGAAAAGTCCAACTTTTACCATTTGGATTTGTGAGCGCAGCTTTTGGCAGCAGTTGGGTTTTGGTTGTGTGTAGACACATAACTCCAAGACACTGGTATCAAAATGTCTGCACATATATATATGCACAAAGGGCCCCATGTATCTAGGCATATATTTGAAATTTTGAAGGGTCTCAGCTTGGACTGCATGTGGGAGTTACCTTCTGTATGCAGAAAATGTTCAGATATTGGAGCATTCAGCCATATGAACTCCCAAGGACTGGTGAACTAGACTTCAGTCCCTTTGGTGGTACCCTTGTTGTTGTTCATTCATTCAGTCGTTTCTGACTCTTCGTGACCTCATGCACCAGCCCACGCCAGAGCTCCCTGTCAGCCGTCACCACCCCCAGCTTCTTCAAGGTCAAGCCAGTCACTTCAAGGATGCCATCCATCCATCTTGCCCTTGGTCGGCCCCTCTTCCTTTTTCCTTCCATTTTCCCCAGCATAATTGTCTTCTCTAAGCCCATGTCTGATTCCACAGCAAGCTGGCTTCAGGAAAGGCAAAAGCTGCACATCGCAAGTGCTGAACCTGACTCAGCACATAGAAGATGGCTTTGAAAGGCAGCAGATCACAAGAGCTGTCTTCATAGACCTGTCAGCAGCCTATGATACTGTGAACCACCGCCTCCTCCTGAGAAAAATGTATAATATCACAAAGGACTACCACCTCACCCGCCTCATAGGAAACCTGCTACAAAACAGGAACTTCTTTGTTGAGTTCCAGGGCCAGAGAAGCAGATGGCGGAAACGGCCTGCCTCAGGGGAGTGTGCTTGCTCTATCCATGTTCAACATCTACCCAAATGACCAGCCATTACCAGAAGGGACAGAGAGTTTCATCTATGCTGATGATCGTGCCATTACTGCTCAAGCAGGGAGCTTTGAGATGGTAGAACATAAGCTCTCCGAAGCTCTAGGTGCTCTTACTGCCTATTACAGGGAAAACCAGCTGATCCCTAATCCATCTAAAACACAGACATGTGCCTTTCACCTTAAGAACAGACAAGCATCCCGAGCTCTGAGGATACCTGGGAAGGAATCCCACTGGAGCATTGCAGCGCACCCAAATACCTGGGAGTCACTCTGGACCGTGCTCTGACCTACAAGAAGCACTGCCTGAATATCAAGCAAAAAGTGGGTGCTAGAAACAATATCATACGAAAGCTGACTGGCACAACCTGGGGATCACAACCAGACACAGTGAAGACATCTGCCCTTGCGCTATGCTACTCTGCTTCTGAGTATGCATGCCCAGTGTGGAACACATCTCACCACACTAAAACAGTAGATGTGGCTCTTAATGAGACATGCCGCATTATCACGGGGTGTCTACACTGACACCACTGGAGAAACTACACTGTCTAGCCGGTATTGCACCATCTGACATCCGCCGGGGAGTAGCAGCCAATAGGGAAAGGACCAAGGCAGTAACATCTCCAGCTCATCCCCTGTTTGGATATCAGCCAGCAGACAACTTAAATCAAGAAATAGTTTTCTAAGATATACAGAGACACTCGCTGGAACACCCCAGCAAATGAGGGTCCAAAAGTGGCAGGCTCAAACCCAGAACCTCAATCAATGGCTGATACCAAATGAGAGACTCCCCCCTTACATTACAAACATTTCAGTTGTTTGATGACATCTGTCTTCGGGCATCTGATCTGACCACCGTAAGAGGCACTTCACTTAGGTGATCCCTCATTGGCCGAGTAGGATAGTCTTCCAGGATCAGTGTTGTGGTGGGTCCGTAGGTGACTGTGGAGCCCTATTCTTGATCTGCATCTTCTCTCTCAGTGAGGGCATTGGTTTCCAGGTGGAAGGTGATCTTGGTTGGGGTTGACTTGATGCGCCTTCCTCTTGGCACGTTTCTCTTCTTCACCCTCCATTCATGCCACTTCAAATTCTGCAGCACTGCTGGTCACAGCTGACCTCCAGCTAGAGCGCTCAAGGGCCAGGGCTTCCCAGTTCTCAGTGCCTATGCCAGAGTTTTTAAGGTTGGCTTTGAGCGCATCTTTAAATCTCTTTTCCTGTCCACCAACTTTCCGTTTTCTGTTCTTGAGTTCGGAGTAAAGCAACTGCTTTGAGAGACGGTGGTCGGGCATCCAGAAAACATGGCCGGTCCAGCAGAGTTGATGGCGGAGGACCATCGCTTCAATGCTGGTGGTCTTTGCCTCTTCCAGCATGCTGACATTTGTCCGCCTGTCTTCCCAAGAAATTCACAGAATTTTCCGGAGGCAGCGCTGATGGAATCGTTCCAGGAGTTGCATGTGATGTCTGTAGACAGTCCACGTTTCGCAGGCATAGAGCAGGGTTGGGAGGACAATAGCTTTATAAACAAGAACCTTGGTGTCCCTACGGATGTCCCGGTCCTCAAACACTCTCTGCTTCATTCGGAAAAATGCTGCACTCGCAGAGCTCAGGCAGTGTTATATTTCGGTGTCAATGTTGAATGTTTGTCTCCTCTATATTGTTTTAAGAGTACAATAAAAATACAAAGTGAAAATATTAGGGAAAAGCCATCAATCTCTCTTTCTCTCCTTTGCATCCTTTCCCTCCCGAAGGAACAGAAAGTGAGGATTGGCAGCAGCAGCAGCGGAACATCCCAGCGCAGTCTTGCCCAAAGTGTGGAATTATTCTTCCAGATATAGACACGCTACAGATACATGTGATGGACTGTATCATCTAATCAGTGTCAGCAAAGATGCTCTTAAACGGGACCTGCACTTTCTGAGCAGACGTGTTCATTTCCATTCACTACTAGAAAGCTTGATTCGTCAGGATTTAACTTCCCTTTTCTATTGATTTCAATGGGGATTGCCAGGTTTTAGTTCTATGTAAAAGAAATATAGCTGGGGAAGAATGGCTTTTTAAACCGCTGATTATCCGATGTCTTACTCATAGGCTGAAATATAGGAAGCTAACATTGTAAGAGCTTGAGCTGAAATAATTAAAAGACCAATAATGCTGGGAAATTGTATCATTTTGATACTTGAAATGATGTGTTTGCCAGCATTATTTGCATTCATAAATAAGATTGCATATGTTTTGCAGTTTGCAAGTGTATCTATGTGCCTGCCTAATCTCAGGGAGGTCAACTGAGACTATGTTTTGGTTCACATGTGATATACCTATGGGTAAGTGAATTAACAGTTGCAAGATCTTCCTCCTTAAGAAGAATGATGGATCAAAGTACTGAAGAACCTGCTTCTTGAATTCAGCTATTTTAAAGTTCTCTTTACAAATAAGTAACTCTTGTAGGAAGTGTGTTATTTTATGCTGAAATGCGGTTGCACTTATTCTAGAAAAGCCACTGCACATGCCCCAGATTTTTCAAGGTGGAAGTTTTCTCCGTCATTTGGGTTCTCACTGATGTTTCAGAATATAGGTGCAATAATATCAAGAACTCAAAATTTAGTGTTGATTCCACTTTTGGCTCATTTCTAATTATGAACATATAATTGATTTAATGTATTTTTGTGACAGAACACTTGAAACAGAAGATATATACTTTACCAAAAGATACTAATGATGTCAAGTTCTGAGTGGCATATGGACTCTATGCTGTAACCAAAAGATTAAAATAAATAGTTCTAAAAGAGCCCTCTGGCTGCTATATTGCTTTGCCCTCTTAAAAGAGACTTTAGAGAGAGAGAGAGATTGTGTTTTTAATTACCTGGACTAATTATGCTTGAAAAAGAAAACATAATGACTAAAGTTAATTGAGTTGTTACTATTACAAAAAATAAAAATGTCAAAGTACTATCATATTTCTTTTGTATTTGAGTGTCAGATGCAACTATTGGCAATTTGTTCTTTGGAAAGTATATTTTCAAAAGAAGTTCGTCTTTCAAATATATTTTTCTTGTATCATGCTCAAATAAGAGCATAATTAAGCATTTTGAATGCAGCAAAATCAAGGCAATGTGCTTTTATTTAAAATAATGCATTAATTGAAGGCTACAGGCATGCCAGAAGTTCTTTTTTTACATACCATATATTCTGGCATATAAGACTACTTTTTAACCCAAGAAAATCTTCTCAAAAGTCAGTGGTCATCTTATACGCGGGAGTCGTCTTATACGTGGGAGTAATCTTATACGCTGGAGTAGCCTTATGCGTGGGAGTCATCTTATATGCAGGAGTAGTCTTATACACTGGGAGTTATCTTATTGAGCGGGTGCTGAAACTTCCAATCCAGATTGGAGGATCTGTGGTTGCTGCATATTGTGGGGGGAGCTCAAAAATGGCAGACGCGACGTCCCTGCCGTATGCAGCGACTGTGTGAAAGCATTAAGGGCGACGCTGTACAAGTATGGTAGAAGAAAATCCAGTCATCAGGATTCGTGGACTTGATGTGGCCCTGATGCAGTTCTCTGAAGTGGTTTTCCTCAAGAAAAGCAATGCTTCATATTTTCTCGCATGTTTTGAGGTTTAATTCCATTTTAAGACTGCAGCCCACCCCCCACCCCCATCTATATAAATAAAAATGTAATGTTTGTTTGTAGGATTAACATAACTCAAAAACCACTGGACAAATTGACACCCAATTTGGACACAAGACGCCTATCATAAAAACACTGAAAAACACAGCAGAAGAGACTTAAAAAGACAAAATACAAAAATCGTATTACACCGCATGCGCAAAACCACATATATGCACAAATACACATATACAAAAATATACACACATACACACAAAAAACATATACACAGACTGGGCCACTGCAATGCGTGGCAGGGGACAGCTAGTATGCATATAATAATAATAATAAACTTTATTTATACCCCGCCACCATCTCCCCAAAGGGGACTCGGGGCGGCTTACATGAGGCCAAGCCCAGAAATGCATTACAATACAGTAACAAAAAACACAAGGCAATATCATAATAAAATAAAATAAGACAAGCATAAAATATATGTGTGTGTGTGCAGGGCCGTAGCCAGAAATAAAATTTCGGGGAGGGGTTGAAAATTTTGGGGGGGGGGAGTTGAAACCTGCCTCCTAGCTCACGCTGAAGCAAAGAGCACAGCAGGGGGCAGAGCAGCCTTCAACAACCTGCAGCTCCGCCCCTGTCAACCACCTCCACCAAGTCTGGCCTCCTTAATGAGAGCATTCAACACCCCCCCCCCCCCACAACTTGGTTGCTTCGCTACATCGGCTATTGCTGCAAGCAATGACAGCGTGGATAAATTGTCAATATTTGCCTGAGATAGTGCTTGCAGTTCTGGAGGGACTATTAATTTTTTGCGTCTCATAGACTTAGCATGGGGATTTGGTTAACTAGCTAAAATTCATGAGTAAACCAGGTTTATTTTTTTAACCTGAAAAATTTCGGGTTAAATTTCGGCTACAGATGCTTGAGGTTAAGATTGATTTAAGGCCAGAACTTTTTTTATTAGGAATTATAGAGGAAGACCTGGAAATAAATAAAGAAAAACTCCTAATTTACTTAATAACTGCGGCCAGAATCTGCTACATTATTTATTTGTTGTGTCAGGGCAACCAGTCAATTATATTACATTTCTAACAGAACAAAGCAGACAAGCAGACAAAATACAAAGTTTTTTGTATACAAAAATACAAAGAGTTTGGTAGTTGATTAAATGTCCTTTGACCAGTATCTGGCCACTTGGAGTGCTTCTGGTGTTGCTGCAAGAAGGTCCTCCATTGTGCATGTGGTAGGGCTCAGGTTGCATTGCAGCAGGTGGTCAGTGGTTTGCTCTTCTCCACACTCGCATGTCGTGGATTCCACTTCGTGGTCCCATTTCTTAAGGTTGGCTCTGCATCTCGTGGTGCCAGAGCGCAGTCTGTTCAGCGCTTTCCAAGTCGCCCAGTCTTCTGTGTGCCCAGGGGGGAGTCTCTCATTTGGTATCAGCCATTGATTGAAGTTCTGGGTTTAAGCCTGCCACTTTTGGACTCTTGCTTGCTTAGGTGTTCCAGCGAGTGTCTCTGTAGATCTTAGAAAACTATTTCTAGATTTAAGTCGTTGACGTGCTGGCTGATACCGAAACGGGATGAACTGGATGGAGATGTCTCTGCCTTGGTCCTTTCACTATTGGCTGCTACTTCCCGGCAGATGTCAGGTGGTGCAATACCGGCTAAGCAGTGTAATTTCTCCAGTGGTGTAGGGCGCAGACACCCTGTGATAATGCGGCATGTCTGCTACATGAGGCATTGGAGAACAAAGGAGATCCCCACACAAGAACAATGGCTTCTCAAGATAATAGATATTATGAATATGGATAGACTAACACAGTTGTTGAAGACGAACCAAAAGATGAAGATAATACAAACAGATTGGTACCTGGTAAGGAACTACTTAATCCAAAAAAACTATAAATGGATAATAAATACAGAATGATAACTTTAAAAAAAATGAATACAAAATTGGATCAGATGCAAAAGGGCTAGCCACTTATCTGGAAAATTGACTCATGAGACTCTGAAGCCAAAGATGGAGAGAACTGGAAGCCAGCACCTTTCTCTACCATCCCTCCACTTCCCCATTTCCCACCCCCCTCCTACCTCCCCTATACCCATTTCCACACCCACTTCCATTCCCCCACCCCCAACCCAACCACACACACCCCCAACCGAGCCTCAATCACCATTTCCCCCATTCCCTATTCTTTTAAATACTACTTCTTTTTATTTTTCAACCCACCCCCCCCCCACTGTAAAAAATGCTCAATAATATATATATATAAATTTCACACACACAGGCCTGTGTGTGTGCAAGGCTGATGTGGCCTCCAAGACCAAGAAAATGAGTTTTGACACATAAGATGCAGTTCTCTGAAGCGGTTTTCCCAAAGCAAAGCAATCTATCTATCTATCTATCTATCTATCTATCTATCTATCTATATATATATATATATATATATATGCTCTGTGCATAATGAGTACCTTAAAAACAAAAGAACCAATGAACGAAATCACACCAAATTTGGCAACAAAACGTCTCACAACACAAGGAGTGACCATCACGCAAAAAATTATGATTTTGTCATTTGGGAGTTGTAGTTGCTGGGATTTATAGTTCACCTATAATCAAAGAGCATTCTGAACTCCACCAACGATGGAATTGAACCAAACTTGACACACAGAACTCCCATGACCAACAGAAAATACTGGAAGGGTTTGGTGGGCATTGACCTTGAGTTTGGAGTTGTAGTTCACCTACATCCAGAGAGCACTGTGGACTCAAACAATGATGGATCTGGACCAAACTTGGCACAAATACTCAATGTGCCCAAATATGAACACAGATGGAGTTTGGGGGAAATTGACCTTGACATTTGGGAGTTGTAGTTACTGGGATTTAT